CACTATACGGACATTATAAACACAGTTCTTAGACAAAGCAGACAACTAGCCAATGGTGGTACATAGAGTTTTACTAATGTGCATGTAGCGTGCCCTCACTCGAAAGTTTTTACAGTTTTTATTTAGACCTGAGTGTAATCGCAGTTTAATATTGGCTCTCCTTGTGTTGCCATTCTGTGCAGCCCCTCCCCCAATCTCATGCCAATATATTTGAGAAACGTCTCAAGCCTATGTAATAAATAACTGTGCCACACACACAGACTGCCCACAAGCATTAGACACCTCCCCACAGGATTTCCCTGCCTTGGACCCCAGGAGGGAGCCCAGTCACAGGCTTTGAACTGTGATTTGTATATAGTACAACAGAAAGCCCCTTTCGACTGACACTAAACCAGTCTAAATCAGTCCAACACTGATTTACGTCACCATTCTCCCCTTTGTCTCTCCTCTCTTCTCCTGCTGGCTATTTCAAATTCATCTTCCTGCCCTCAGTAACTACTGCAAAAGGGTGAAGAAGTTTACTTAGTCACACTGAGTTTAGGGAGATGAGGAAAAGTCTGTGATTCTATGTGTGTGTGTGGGCGAAGGTGTGTGCATATGTGTGTGTTCACTCTTGTGTGTCAGTGCGGTTTGCTCTAGTGTGTGTGTGTGTGTGTGCAAAATGCAGAAATGTACACACACCCCTGTTTGATCCAGAGCTAGCCCTGCAGCTCCCAGAGACTCAACAAAAGGCCTCCTCTATCCATTGTATGAGCTGTGTGTTTCCCAGGAGAGCTCGGGCTCAGTGAGAGAAGGGCCCCAGATCGCTTTCTCCTGACATGGATGTTTATTCGCTCTATGGTCCAGCAGAACACCCTCAAAAAAGGACTGGCCTTAGCATTTTGACGTGCATGACACATAGTTTTGGAAAAGAGATGAGGGGCTAGAGGGTGCGAGGGAGAGAAAAAGACAGAGTGAGCGTCTTGACAGATGAACAGACACGCGAGACAGACAGATTGCGAAAGAGGATTGCCCGTCTATGAAGGTGTTCGCAGTGCACTCATATGAAAAGGAATATTCATGGTGTTCTCCGCCATTTTATTTGCTCCTTGTCTTTACACTAGTCAGCTTTCTTGTCAACCTTGTTCATGAATGTAGATCCACCCGGTGGGTGGGTAGAGATTTCCCCCTGATCTTGACAAGCTCTCCCATCCCTGACTGCATACTAATTTCCCCAGAACTACTGAACCAATGTAAAACAAATACAAATTGCCAGGGCTGCTCTTCATTGCTTGAGAGGCAGGGTCTTGGGAGGTTAGCAGATAGTAGCTGTCTATTGTGGGTCTGTGATTAATCAGATTGTCCGCTGTGGACAGAGAAGCTTACACGGACGGCTGTTGTAGTTGGCTATATGATATCTTTAGGAATCTGTCAATACGCCCGAGTTTAAAATCCTGAGCTAATGAAGGGGAGTGTAAAACAACTCACTCATTCACTAGTCAATTAAAAGTCCATCAACAGTTCAATGTGACAAAGACGTCTCCGTGCTCCACTTTATAGGCAGCGATCTCTTCTCAGCTGCTCTCTCCTCACCAGTTGTCTTTATCTAAGAGTTTTGAATGCTATCTATCAGAGTACTCCACTTTCTCTGGCAATATCTGAAAGTTTCCTTGAGATTGAGAGTGCCTGCGGGGTCGACCATAGATCTCAGTAGAGCTGCAGAAGCCGACAGTTGAAAACAAACATGGTAGGCTGATACCATCTAATCTGTTGAACACCATTATCGTCTAAGATATCGCTATACCCCCCCGCCCCCCCGCCCCACCATATCCGCACGCACCCACCCTCCAAACCAGACTTACTCTCTCCCTCTACACCCTTTGAGGTAAAAGCTTGTGTGTTGAGGCTGAGAGTGAATGTAAGCCATTGTTATGGTGTAACCGGACTCCACAGCAGGTTGTTTGATCCTGTTTTGGGCATGAAAAGCCCTTTTTTTTTTTTTTTCTTGAACCACCACATCAGCTGAGAGGTTCAGACAACAGAATCTATTTGTAGAGTCTTCTGTCTGTCTGCTTCTTTTTCTCTGTCTTTCTCCTTTTTCATCCTCACTTTGTCTCTCTTTGTCAGTCTAAATCTCCCGTACAGATTCAGGTCTGAGGCCGGAGCTTTAATTACCATAAAGAGGAGCGTGCACTCATTCACATACTGTACTCAGACACGAACGTATGCTTTTAGGCACACTCTGTCGCTCTCGATTTCTCCCCCCTTCTCTCTCCCTTTTTATTTAAACAGGATCTTCTTGTACCTCTTCTTTCCATACAGACTGGGATTATATATTTCTTGCTTGCACCTCTGGTGTGGCAACAGTAAAAAAGAACATTACTGGGAAGTGTATAAGTGACAAAAGCTTTAGTAAATTGTTTTGTTTGGCCACAATACTTCCCGTGATACATGCAAGCTCCTGTTGTGTCCCTGTTTACCCAACATCATCTCATTATTTACATTACAACATAGAACCACACCGCCGTATTGTCGAATGTTTTGGGCGCTTACTTGCACTTCTACGCCTTTGTTACTGTTTTGGCATTGTATTCTCAATTTATGATCTGTTTGGCGTTCAGTGTGGACAATGTGCATGCAAATATCCTCGTCCCATTATGCCGGCTGTCTTTGTACGTCAGCTTTCTTCCCTAAGAGCCGAGGTATAGATGAAGAGTTGGAAGGGGGGGGATGGAATGGCGCTGTATGTTTTTGGAGGGAGATTTGTGCGGGCACACACACGTACGCACGTACACACACACACACACGCATCCATCTGTGCCCCCCAACCCATTTCAGACGTGAGAAACTGTACCTTCATTTGCATAAGAATAATTGACACTTCAAATTAGCCTTCCAATCAAAGAGGATTTTTTTTTTCAGCATATGTGCAGGCACTGAGTGCTGCCATACTGGAGAATATGAAAGGGAGGGCAAAAGAGAGCACGGATGGGAGGGGACGAGTCATAAAAGATTAACCCTTTCACTTCCTCATCTCAGAGTAGAGGATTTGATGTGCCTTTTTATTGCAAATATAACTTGATATACGGTAAAACAGACTTTTGTGGGGGAATAATAAATGATTTCTTCTCTAAATCAAGGGATCCTATGACCGCCTGGTGGGGGGGAATTTTTTTTTCAGATTGATAGGTATTTACCTTTGAAAGCTTTAGGTGCACTGACTGTGTTATGTGCACATTTACACGTCTATATTCACCTCGGCAGCATTGGGCGCAGGCCAAGAGAGTGAGTGCTATTAAGTAGAGTGTGCGTGTGCGTGTCAGTGTGGATGTGTGCGGATTGAGGGTTTGCCCACATTAAACCATTAAAGCAAGTGCAATGTTGAATTATTGATAATGGCTAATGAAAAGGATCAGTTCAGGATAAACTACTGGCTTAACCATAGCCCTGAGGGCTGACACACACATCCTCTCACACACACATACACACAAAACCACATTCATTTTCCCTGCTCAACATCTATTTTAGGTTCTATTTTAATTTTATGATTAGAAGTCGCACTAGCTCTGTCTACATCTCACTCTCTATTGTTCCCTCCGTGTTCCAGTTACATTACAACCCACTCCAGTTAAAAGCAATAGAGGCCTGAGCACTGGGACAAGATAGCAGCTGTGTGCTTCCTACCCAGCTGACAAGCAGAGAGCCTTTTTGAGGCTGAGCCGGTTTTTCGGGGAGAATAAGGGACAGGGATTCAGTTTTGGGGGGAAGGGGATAGAGAATGGGGGTTGAGGGTTTGGGGGACGAGGGGGGGAAGCCTCGGCGCCAGCCCCTCTGAAGCGCTCAGCATCCCCCCGCTTATGGGATGGCGGATGTGTCTGGGGGTATCCATGACAACACTGCTGCATGCCAGGGACATACCACGGCAACATGGCCAAGTAGAGTTGGTGTCGTAGTGTGTGTGTGTGTGTGTGTGTGTGTGTGTGAGTAGATCCATTAAGGGCCACATATCTCTGTGACATTAATATTCACTCAGTCAGACAGGGAAGCTGCTGCAGCCCCAATCAGTTTGCTGTTTGACAGGCATGTATCACAGACTCCTTTATTTCAGCCTTTGACTCACAGGCTCAGCATAAATATGTCCACTGTATACATACTCTCTTGTAAGTGAATGTAAGCCAGCTGACACAGTTGTCAAGGAAAGCGCCTTCCTGCTAATGATTCGGCATGGCACAGTTTTATGCTTGTACTCTATATTTTATACTTTCACAGACACAGAGAGGTGCACTCTCACATTCACTCAGGTCAGGAAGCACAGGTCAAGACTCACCTACTCTCTAACAAACATCCACACACACTGGCACACACACACACTCACACAGTGAGACTCACACAATCACACTCGTAGCTCTTGCACAGATCAAGCTGTGTTATAATAATCCCATCTGGGACGTCCTGGATTCTCACTCAGAAGGTACCCACATAATGATGCTCTGATGACTTCCTATGTGTGTGTGTGTGTGTCTGTAAAGGAGAAAATGTAAGGTGCTTTATGTGTCATGAGATACTGTTTTTTTTTTCAACCCACATCCCTGCCCACACACATGCACACACACAAGCTCACGCATATAGAGTCAAACTCAGATCCTGTGGGAGTGTATTTTTAACCCTGACTGCCTGTGCATTTGCTGAGGGGTTAAAGGGCCGAACAGTGAATCAAGTAAATAATTCACTATAGCTGAAACTCTTTCGATGTAACCTCAGAATGAATGGGGGAGGGAGACCTAAGAGACTTAGTTACATAGTGGCACACAGTAGTCCTGTCCAATCCTGCTTAGTGTTTTGATGGTAAAGAAACAAGTAGGTCATAACGGAGTACCCAGTAGATCTTATAGAACTCTCATTATCTAATAAAGTCTGATTTCATGCAACGTCTGTATACCTTGCATGTTCTGTTTGAGTGCTTGTTTCAGTGTATATGTACATCTACAGCACTAAACATTTCGCCTTTCCTGTGTTTCTAGGTTGGATGGAGACCTCGTAGATCATGACCCAGAAACAAATGGCATAATGACTGGAGTCTCCAGGCTAAGACGTCAAGGATATTCAGCTGATCTCAGAGGTGACTGCGCTCTCTCCTTTCAAGCATTACGGTTTCTGCCATCTTGTTATATGGGCTATATTTTAAGAATTCGCCGCTATGGATCAGCAGTCTCTGCATCCTTTTTTTCTAGGCGAATTCTATACGAAAGTGTCTGTAAGACATTTTGAGTGACATTGCTTCTGTCAAACGGCTGATTGAAGGAGACACAGAGAGAAATGCTGTGCTAATGAAATCGTCTGACCCACATCCTTTAGTGCTATCCATTTCTCCAAAGACACAGAAAGGGCATTTATACAGGTAAACCATGACTGGTCCCTGAAGTGAAAGAGGGGTTTTTCAGAAGGAAGAGGAGCATCCATTATTTACTATACTGGGGTTGCTAGACACTTAGGAGATAATGCAGTGCTTCAAGCATACAAAACATAGAGCCTCCTCAGTGCTGGCGAGGCCATTGTTGTGTGTTTTGAACATGTCTGTTTCCATCCATACTGACAGATGAAAAAGAATATGTCTCCCTAAGGTTCAGAAGCACGGACAGAGATATATAAAGAAAGAAGGAGAGGGATACAATAGGATGGTGGAGAGATGTGTTTGTGTGTGTGCCAGTCATATCTTTGTGCATGTTTGGTTCTCATGTCTGTGCAGTTGTGTACATATATGTCTATTTATTACCCCCAGTCTGTTGGTTGGCATCTGTATGTACAACAATTTGTGTCCAAACCTATGCCAGTCCTGGATTATATATGTAAGTTGTCGTGCACACAGTGGAGCGCATGTTTTTACCTTACATATGCATCATGTTTCACCTGCACTGAGTCTGTATCAGTAGTCTCTTCCTGTTCTGATAGGCTTCAGTCAAGTCTTATTCTCTGCAGATCAGCAGCAGCATCAGTTGCCTCCTCATGGAGAGTGGAAGCATCTGACTGCAGTCTACTGGGAGTAGTTAGCAGAAGGAGAGCAAGGCATGCAACTCCTCCACCCTGTTATCAGACTTGGGGCAACACCAGGCACTACTTTCTGCCTTTGTCAAATTTCCCGAGGGACACTTTGACATGAAATCCTTTTTTGTGGATGAGGGGAGACCACTCCCCAAAAAAATCATATATTTTTCCGCATAAATGAGCATGGTGATGGAGAGAATGACAACTATCCATGTTTGTGGAGCTGGTCTGGGAAAATCTGGGTCTACTGGCACTGAATAATCCCTAAAATTTGAATGACAAAGGAAATATATAGTTGTTTTTCTCATCACACTTAAATTCCAGATATCTTATTTAGTGAGTTACAAGATGTGTTAAAAAAAATCCTCACACTGTACGCCATATTCTTTGTTTTTTTTTTTTAACAACTTGTATTTCATTTTCCATGTTTCGGCTGTTGTTTCTGGTGGCTACTACATTAGCATATATCTTCACCAGTTCCATTGCAAAGGCCCCAGGACAATGACACTGCTAGACACAGAGTGTGTGGAGCACACTTTCAGTATGATTCAGTTAAACTGGGTCAGTCTGACATTTTAGTGTAATTCTTGCCTTCTAAATACTGTAAGTGGTTCAGATCACTAAAAAAAGGAACTTGATGAACTGTTAATAGATGGGTTGCAATGCCCTGTGGATCTGCTGTAAAGCTATATCCATGTACATTTAATATAGTCAATGAGACATTGTCATAAGAGGTAGGATGAAAGCCAAAAACTATAAAAAAATATTCCTCAGTTTGTAAAAGATTGCTTTATTTTAGCTTAAGGCTCAGACATACCAAACCGACCTCAGAGAATCAGCAGCATCGAAAGTCCTCTGCTGTGTTGCCTCACATTGCCAGATCTCAGCCAAAAAGTTACACATGAACCAACACATTCTCACTCCATCCTTGCCACATATCGACATTTAGTCATGGATCTTCCACATCCAGATACAATGTAAAAGGTACCCTGGGTGTGTTGGTTGATGACGTTCTGGGACGCCATGTCAAGTTCTGCCTGTTACATGCATTGTCGTCTTTCAAAATACACTTCCGTTTTCACAGGAAATTTACCTTTTACATACTTTTTTCTCCAAGATTTAATGCATGTGGTTGGGTTTAGGCAACAAAAACACGTGGTTAGGTTTAGGAAAAAAGAACAGGGTTTGGCTTTATAATCTTAAGGGACGCAAACATGTCTCTCCCGGGTGAAAGTCGGTGTTTGTTGGACCCATCGACCACCTCTCCCACCCATCCTACTTGGACTTTTGCTGCCTTAACTTTCATTCTTGTCCTGCTGTGCGTCCCCCCTTAACTGTGACCGCCAGCATATCAGTGTCTGACACCACGAGTCACTGCTCAAGCACTGGATTTCGATGACTTTGCAGTGAGACCGGGTTGCCTGAACACACCGTATCGCCTGTGTGAGAGGCAATAACTCTCCATGCCAGCAGACAGCGGTAGTCTATATTAGTCATTCAAAAAGGGAAACTTGAGCGTCTTGATGCTGGTTAGCCAGTTAGCACATTAACACACCATCCAATGTTGAAAGAACAAAACCTACTTACTGTGCACCAGTGAACAATAATGGAAACCATCACAAAACTTTGCTGCTAAAGAGCTTAGTGGATTAAGAAAAATAATCTTAGCTTATAGAACTAGTTTGTTTCGATCTCACGCCCTCTTGACTTTAGTCATTGTTTACTTTCCTCACTTTTGTTTTTCTTCCTGTGTGCTGAGCTAAACTGCCAATCCGAGTGATTTTTTTCCACCAATGGGCTCCTGAATCAGCCAATAAAGCAGACGGGGTCCAAGGAGGGGCAACAGCTTGGTGTGTGAGAGCCTTTACACCCATCATGCTTTGAGCAGATGGATTGTGTAAGGAATCTTGTTTATATCAACATGTTTGTTGTTGCTGACAAAAAACTATGCTATTTACAGTTACACTGCCAGACTTCATTCGGCACCCTAGGCAAGCCCCCAACTCCCTCCCCACCCCTTTTATTTTCTCTTACTCTAATGCTCTCCAAATATACTTCGATCCTCCAAGTCCATAAAGTCTAGCATGTTCTGAATGCAGGGATCACGCACTGATAAACTAGATGGACTAGATGTGGTACCCCTACTCCAAAATGACTGTTGGCATTAGATCTTTGGATCATTTTCTCTTTATGTTTGATCATTCTCAATGTAATGAATGAATATGGGAAAGGTGGATGCCTCTGTTGGCTATCGGAAGATCCACTGCTAGATATTTACATGCCCACAGTTCAAGGTAAGCAGCTAGGTGGGCAGATGTGAGTGCAGGAGACATGTAAATGCTAGAAAGGGTGTGTGAACAAAAATGATGATTCTACATTGTAATTAATTTGGTGAAAGTGTTAAACTGTATAGGGGTTGTTATAGTTATTTTTTCTTGAGAACCATCAGTGAAGCTTTGGACCCATGGGCATAAACACACATACACACTGCGGACATCATGCTTATATATAGACATTAAACTGCAGTGTCAGCAGAGAAGATGAGGAGGATGCAGAGACAGGCACATGTAGCTTTGACTAAGATCAGCTGCCACAGATAGACAGGCAGGCCAGGAAGGCAGTGTGTGCCCTTGAGGTGCTGTGTGCAGGCAGGGTGGTGTGCTTGAGTTGTCTAAATCCACCTCTCTTCATCTTTTGGAGTTGGGCTGAGTTTGGCTGTTGATGGCCCAGGGACCCCCTGCCAACCCCAAAATGTTCTATACTGTCAGCCAAACATCAGAGAAATTTGTTGAAGGAGACAGCGTGGCCAAAACAGTACTTTTGTACTTTCTGAAATCCTAGGGGAAAAAAAGAAAACTGAGGGGAGTTGCTGACTTATAGCAACTTTCAAGAGATTTCAAGTGTCTGACAAGATAAATCAGCAAATACATTTAGAGTAAACCTTTAGGAAACACCTCTGTTGAAGTCATGGGATCCTAAAATGACGTGTTGCTCTGCTTTTGTTTTTTTGTACACTGAGATTTAACTGAGCCAGTCAGACATCCTTACTGTCTCAAATAACCCCAGCTGTTCTGCACAGCCTATACATTCATATTGGGCCCCAGAATACCTTTCATGCTTGTCAACAGGCTCTATAGTTTGGGGGAAATGCAATACCATAATGTCTATCTGGAGGAAGGGAGTGTCAGGTATGGCAAGGGTAATGGAGGAAGGACTGGAGGTGCAGGTAACCCAGGTTAGGCCGGGTGTAAAGGGGATCCGATAAGGCGTTCCCCAGACCCTCCAGTCTCCCAGTCTCCTCTATTAGAGAATAATAAGCAGCTGTAACCCTGAGACACTCCCAGGCCTGTGTCCTCAGCTACAAAAACTTTCACCGGGCGTCTTCTCCGGTTCTAAGGATATCACGTAAGACAATACATGTGAGAAGTGCAGTGGGAACAATGGGAGGAAAGTGCAGCGTGATATGAGGGGGACTAATGTCAGCGGCTATTGTTGAGGCCTTTGTCACTGTCAAGTACACTGGGAACTCACAGCTCACTGAACTCCTTTTATTCAAGGATCTTGCTTTGGGATGTGATGAAACTCTACAACAAGTGCTGTCCCTCATGCTTCAGCAATGTAACTAACAGGTTGCTGTAAGATCCCCTCAGGCTGGCAGTGATGATTTAGCCTCACACTTCTGGTTTCTGGGAGGAAATTTGCTGCTGAAAGTGTTGTGTTACACAGGATGTGCTGAAATTTCACCAAAAGGTCACACTTTGTTGCTTTGTTGTAATAATATGTCGTACATGGCAGAGGTGTGGATTCCAGTCACATGACTTGTACTTGAGCCAGACTCAAATCACAAATTTGATGACTTTGGAATCGACTTGACAAAGTAAAAAAAAATTCCCAACTTGACTTAGACTTTAACACCAATGACTTGTGACTTCACTTTGGACTTGAGCCTTTTGACGAGCCCAGTCTCACTCTGAAGTTAGCGAAATCAGGCGTTTGGGCAGTGACTTGCGGCGTCAGAAACCAACAAAAAAAAAGGCCTCCTTTAATTTTGGCATGATACATGGCTGGTTGCCGTTATATATATAGACTTATATAGACTTTCACCTGGGAGAGCGGTGTTCGCGACTTATTATGAAGCCAAACCCTGTTCTTTTTTCCTGAACTAACCACGTGTTTTTGTTACCTAAACCCAACCATGTGTGTTTGTTGTTGAAGGAAAGAAAAACATCAACGCTGACTTTTGACGAGCCCAGTCTCATTCTGAAGTTGTCGAAATCTGGTGCTTGGAACTTGACATGCAGCATAGGAAATCAACAAAAAAAGGCGTCCATTAATGTTGGCATGATACACGGCCAGTTGCGGCGTCACAGGAAAATACGGTGGGATAAGGACGAAATTAAAGCAGCGAAAGTCCGAGTGGTTTTTGTTGTTGAAGGGAAAAAAAAAGTCAATTTTGGCACCGTACCAACGTAGTGCGTTTATTTTGAAAGAGACTATATGTAAAATTTAAATTTCCTGTGAAAACGGAAGTGTATCTTGACAGAAGACAATGCATGTAACAGGCAGAATTTGACACGTTGTCCCAGAACGTTGCAATGCTCCCAGGGTACCTTACACGTTGTATGTGGACGTGGAAACTAAACATCAATATGTGATGAGGTCGGAGTGTGAATGTGTCGTTTTGACTCAAAAATACTTAATACTTTCTCCAAGCTCAAAGATTTAAAAGTATGTTATTCAAAAAGTGCCACAAATCAATTCCCCTTCATAACGCTATTCATTCCCAACACATTATTCCCCAGATCTACTTTGTTTGAACCAATCAGACAGCATCCATCAAGTTGCAGGAGAGAACCATGAAGAGCTAATGTTATGTTACTGAGCACCAGTTGGAAAAAATGATACCAAGAAGGATAGGCTGTGTACAAAAACTACATGGCGGTCACAAAAAAAACCCCAACAAAACAAAAAATAAAAAATAACAGTATGCAAAACGTGCTTTTAAAAAATACACACAGAGCAATACACATTGTATGAAGCATGATTTGGGTACATTTAATATATTATTACTCTGTTGTTAAACTGGCATTACAATTTCAAAGAGTGCATTATGACTGGTTTAGGACTTGAAATTCAAAGTTTAGGACTTGGGACTTGATTTAGGACTTGGCTGGGGAGTTGAGAGCAAAGACTTGTGACTTGCAAACCGATGACTTGGTCCCACCTCTGGTATAAGCTACTGCGTTTGCTGAAGTGTCTTTGAATTGTTTTAATAATTTGGTATTTCCCTTTTTTAGGTAACTGAGTCCTGCTGGTCGACTAGAGAGGAGCCCAGATTTCAAGACAGGAGCTTCAGGATGTCTACTCATAAATCTCACAAGCTCTAGTAGCTTCACATTACTCTCTACGACACTTGGACCTGCACTGAACTCTTTATTTCTGTATGTCTGTCAACTGATTATATAAGATTTTTGACCAAACTGACAAATACTGTGACCTTGCACTGATATAAGAATTTATATGTATTTTTATTTTGATATGGGACAATACTTAACAAGAAAATGGGATGAAAATATTCCTCACATTCAGACTATTTCATGTAATTGATTGAGTCTAACAAGTATATTTTTTGACAGCTAAATAAATGCATTTTTTTCCCTTTAAGTGATGTTTTAGTGTGAGTTATTTCCTCCCTTCAGTGTAGTGCTTTGGCACTCCAGGTAAAGAACAATGTGCTTGACATAATTGGGTCCTATTTGGTTATGAAAAGAGCATGCGTGCTGATAAAAGCTGGCAGGGTGATCAAAGCACCGTGCGTCCTGATCAAAATCATACACCTGACACAGTTGTAGTTTACCCAGACAGACGCAATGTTGGGAAACAGGTTCAGACAGTACCAAGAAGCCTCCCTGTTTAAAATCGGCTCTGTTTCACATTGTGTGCTGTTTTTTTGGTGTGCTACCGTGTGTCTATCAAATCAAATGTACCTGTATGTGCAAAATATGAAACAACAATTAAAACTAGAGTGATTCTATGCTGCTTTCCTACAACTACTTTTGTTGTCTTTTCCTTGCCATGCTGCATGTCAGGTTCATGTTTTTGAAAGAAAAATAGGAAACTCTGATTTTTGTCTCCCTGTCAAAGTTTCCCTAAAATTCTATTCACGCTACAACAAGACGGATCAGAAGTAGGATCCATAACATCTCTGACAAATTGTGTCTTATGGGAGAGAAGCCTCATTTTTCTTCCTCTTCTATCTTTCATCACTCTCCATTCATCTTTATGCGTCTCTCCATTTTCCCTTCTCCTTCCTAATCATATTAATTCTCTCCGTCCCTCCCTACTTAACATTCATTTGCACTATTTTTCTCACGCTTACCCCATCTTCATTTCCTTTACCAGCATCACTCTTCCCTTCTCTCCTGCCACCGTCTTTCAGTCCCCTATCGTCTTCCCCCACCCTTACCCATTCTCTTGCTACCTTTCTCTCCCTTTCGCACTCTGTCTCTCCCTCCCTCCCTTGTCTTTTTCTCCCTCTCAGATGTCAGATCACAGTCTACTCTTCCGCTTGCCCTGTCATCACATTTTTCACACAACCCCATCCCTTAATTGGGCCTGTATCATCATATCATATCATGTAGAATATCTGATCACAGCAAGAGATGAAAGATGGCCCACCTCTCCCCCCACAGACAGACAGACACACACACACATATACCGTTAGACTCACACAAACACGTACACCCACACAAACACGCATGTCAGTGGTCGTATGGGACAGGAATCCAAGCTGATGGCTGCGTCTGTGTACATTTTTACACACCGTGTTTGCACCGAGTTGTCGATGTGATTGTTACAGTGTGACAGGTGAGATGGTGTGTATTCCAAGAGTGTCCACTGATGTTTGTATCAACTGCTAGTGGCTTTTGTGATGAGACAAAGGATGCCCTGGAGCCAGCGGTGTCACATCTACAGGTAACTAGCAAAATAAAGGAAACATCAACAAAAAAGTGTCTCAGGAGTGCTAAAATAGCTCCGACATGTCTTGGCATCAACTTGAAGGATGCAACATGAAATCTTGTGCAATATTTCCAGTCATTCCTGCTGCTGGCAGAAAATGCTTCACCAATATACTGAGACAATTAGCTGTATAATGAAATAATGGGGCCATGGGGTTTTGGTTTATATTGTTTAAATGTTCTGCAATAGCTACTTAAATCCAGACACATGAAAGTGGCATATGTTGTCACACAGCACAATCTTAATTGATTTTTCCTTCAGTCTCCATTTCAGAACAAATGTCAATTCTGGCTAATAAGTTTATTAGCATTGGATGGTCATAATCATGTAGCTTCAGACAGTCATGAAATATCTATGAATGGGTAAATGTTTGCTCTGCATACTTGAATACTGAAATAATTAGAGCACATGCAGAAACAGTTCATACACATACGTTCCTGTACCACAGTTTGAAGGCATGTTTGCTTCACCATAAGGTGAGGGTAATCACGCAGTTTACCAAGCTTTTATGTAATGTAGTAGAGCCAACCTTTTCGACTGAACACAGGCTGTATGTGTGTGACTTGTGAGCAGTTTAACTAGAGACTGAGTGGGTCATTTGAATCGTTTTTGGAGGTCCAAAGAGATAAACCATCCACTATTTCCTGACAAAGATGCAAAAATTAGAGCCATAAAAAAAACTCATCATGTAGTATAGGGTAGATTGTAATTTTTATATGGTTTATCCCTGTGTTTGCGTTCACAGAATCTTGTTTTACTAGTTGTACATAAAGCCTGCACCCAGATGTTTATGGAGAAACAAGTGTTCATTTGTGTATACAGTCACTGTGTGGGTCTGAAGTCTTGAACAAGGTCAAATGCCTAAAGTAAATCCTGATAGTTGTGTGTGCAAATGTAGTTTAATTTAGTATTTTTTCACATCAAAAAGAGAATGCACATATTTTTGTATGTGTTATTTCTATCCAAATGCAGTCTACACCAAATCAAAGCTGCACGAACTAACCTTTTTTCCTCACCAACGCTTAAATGTTTCTTTTATACCGCAGGAATAGTGACCTACAGCATTGAATGTGCAATGTGCACCGCAAGGACTCTAGTTTGAATAAGGACACAATATAGGTCACGGGCCTGATTTCTGTGGCTTCTGTCAGTGAAACATATAGCCACACATTACAAGCTATTAGTAGAGCTTTCACAATTTAGGCTCACATTATGATGAATTAATATAATTACTATAAATTCATTGCTTTGTGTTTTCTAAGCAGCTAGAAATTGTTAAGATTAGGGTTTGTTTAATTCTTTGAGCGCAGAGCCCAAAATAAGTTGCGAGCCTGTTTCTGTTTTCTCCTGACATGACAAGAATACTAATATGTTTTAATGAGCCTGGGTTGCAGCATGGGAATACATGTCTCATTTAGATCCCGGGCTGGAAAACATGCAGAACCATTCACAGGGTGTTACATATACTGTACATACACACAATGTGATTTTGTATCTTGATGAGTACTTTCATCAATAACTTGGCTTTATCCATTAAGTAAAATGTTCACCACAGATTATATTGTATCACACTGGCTGGTGGATGAATGTGTAGTGAAATCCAATAGAGACAGATTCAAACAAGTGAAGACATGGATCCTAGTTTAAACAGGTCTTCCTGGAATCATAATGCAGCTGTCTACATCTTTCAGTACAATTGAATTGAGCCGAGAGCATTTGGGAACCACAAAGATCTCAGATGGCACTTACTTAGGATTGATCTCCTGAAGGCAGTAAAAAATAAATGCATGAATTCTACTATTGATGCAGAGCTTTGAAAAAAAAATCTCTCTTTTTTTTTTTACATTAAGGTGTTTTTTGGCCTGGGAACATGACCTTGGAAGCTGCTGGCGATGAAAAGTAAAGAATAAAACTTCTAAACTCCATTATGTGATGGAACTTTTTTGCTACTTTCTTTGTCTCCCTCCTCTTTTTTTCCACTAGACGGCACAGTATTTCACTTTTATCTACAGATAGCAGGACTTTGTGTTATCTTATTTTGTTTGGGAGAAGATTCACAAGTACTATCCGCCCCATGATCCCAACAGACGACAAGATACAGAACTCCAAGTCTGGAAACTTCACAGTGAGAAAAATGAGGTCTTACTGAGACTACCTTTGGTGTGTGTTTAACTCTCTGGTTATTCCCTAAGAAGATCTGGAAACCAAAGAGGCTGTCGGTTGCAGAGTGTTACAGTGCTATAAAATGCAATACGGGGATGTGTGTAGATTTTAAAAAGCAGCTTGTTAGAGATCACAACTGAAATCTGGTGCATGAAACTGGAGTTTGATTGGATTAGTCAAGGTTGTTGGGGGTTAAAGCAAAAGTTTTCAAATGAAAATCACGACAGAAATTAACTGAGTTTTCCGTCCTTATCAGACGCATCAACCGAAATAAGTTTGTAACAGTTGCCAGAATAAAATGTTGGCATTGTACGTTTTTGCAAACCACAGATATGTTACATTTGTACATGTCCTAGATTATATCAATGTTTAGTTCAAATTACATGTGTATGAGCTAAGTTTGTCATTAAGGGGACAAGGAGATGGTGGATGGTGCCAAGCAGGCTGCTGCAGACCACTGTTTGAGACCAGTGACATTTCCAGCTGTGTTTGTCTCAACTAAGCTGGCTATTTTTTAATGACACATTTGGACATTTCCAGCTGTGTTTTATGCCTGAGGCTAACCACACGTTAACCACAGCACTATGACAACATAAAATTGAAACTTAAAAATTTTAAGAAAAGCAAAGTTTCTGCATATCCTCTACATATGAAACATACAACTTTAACATATCCATGGTGTGCAGTAATGCACAATGCCAACATTTATTCTGATGACTGGGTTGTTTTGTCTGATGTACCTCCACAGCCCTGTCTGATGAACTCAAGTACCCCATCACTGACACCACCTGTCATGTCCCAGAAGGGTTCATTTGAACTGATTTCAAACTAAATTACTACACAGCGAAATTAGCCCTTTTTTTAGATAGGAGTTGTGCAAATTTGCAGGAAAGCCCAATCAGTCTTTTTTCAGCATTGGCAGTATAAAAACAAAATCAGGGAGTGTGGCAAAATGCTGTTTACCTACTTTTGTTTATACAGAATGCGCCTTTTTCGGGGCAATGGGGGGCGTGAGCAAGTAACAAAACATGTAGCTCAGCGTGTGACGTAGACAGTGACGTGAGGGACGCCATGGCTAGTCAGTCCTTTGGTGATTCTCTCATAAGTTGGCCCATTCTTCACCGTCCCCGTCATCTGACGGTTAATGGCTGGCAAAACAGCCCAACATTCGTGGAAAATCTGGCAGTGTAAAAGGGGTTATTGACTTTAACCCCTTGAGACCCGAACTTTCGTTTGGTATTCATTTTAAATTTCTACCAGCTATTTGGGATCAGTAGGACCTGATAAGTATGAAAAACAAAACATTATCAATGATAACAAAGTCCCAATGTCCTCAAATAAGACGCCAATAAAGTCCCAACATCTTCAGATGAATCCTTCCTAATTAACAGCGTCTTAGCTTATTACTGTTGCTAAAATTGGTCAAATCTGTTGCCATATCAATCTACAATCATTATAAATCATAAATAAACCAGGTTCAA